GCGCGTGTGTGCTGCATGGTAGGTGGTGCTCGTGGGGGCGGGGCTTTGTGTGCGCGTGCAGTTGCGGTGCGTGATGTGTATGTGTACGGTGTGGGGGTGCGCTTGCTTGGTGCGTTTGCGTGGGTGTATGTGTGTGGGCGGGGGGGTGCGCTTGCGGGCGTGCGTTGTGTGTATGTGTGTGTGGCTGTGTTGTGTGTGGGCGTGCGTGCGTGCCTGTTGAAACGCGCGTGTGTGCTGTTGTGGGGGGGGTGCGCCTGCGATGGCGGCGTGCGTGTGTGCGCGTGTGCTGGTGTTTATCTAAATCCTACCAATCACGATGCTGTCACGGCGTAGAAATTGAGCGAACTGTATCTTAGTTGTGTACATATCGAATTTCTGTTGAGGTTAATTTCTGTTAATTCCTCTACTCTTCTGACTTTTTTTTCAGGTGACGACACTTGTTCTGCTCGCTCTCATTGTACCAGTGCGGTCAATGGACCCCAGTACGACCACGAGATCGCCGGGAATCAAGAGCAGAATCTTAGACCACGCGTGCGACGGGGCGTGCAACTTCATAGCAAGACACTGTAATTACTGTGGCGTGGATGGCATTCATGGCGCTAATGACGGGAAGACGGGAGGCATAGTGAGACATGTTGTAGTGGTCGCCTGCTCGGCGGTGTGTGACTTTACAGAGAGGAAATGTCACTGCCACGATGGCGAGCCTCATGGAAATTGAAATCCGCAATGTCATATAGGCTATATAATTCATATATATATATATATATATATATATATATATGTGTGTGTGTGTGTGTGTGTGTGTGTGTGTGTGTGTGTGTGTGTGTGTATACACACAAAGAAAAATTTTACATGTGGTATATATTAAATTCAATTAAATTCCATTAAATTCAATGCATTATTTTTATATATAAAAATATGGTGGTGATGGTTGTGATGGTGGTGATGCTAGCGGCGGTAAATGGTTGTGATGGTGGTGATGCTAGCGGCGGTAAATGGTTGCCGGCAATAGTGATAATATGGGCCGCGACTGCAAATTATGGCGATATTTACTCGTAATAACTGACGACATAATTAGACAACACAGACTATTTAGCTCACTCTTATTGTCACTCTACCTGTACTATGAGCTGTTACTCAATGGGATTGTATTTGTCCGATAACACAGGTATTATATACATATTACAGTATGTTTGGAGGGCGGTGACAGCTAGGTGAATAAACGCCGGCCCAGCCCGGAGAGTTACGGACTCTGTTCGTTGACTGTTATATATCAGTGCTGTGTCAATGTTGAACCACATAATCCACACATCCATCATGTTGATGTAGATATATCGAACCCGACGGTTTTATATAAGAAACTATGATGTCATAACTCTTTGCGTCTGCAAACAGTCACTACAGCATGACAACGTCTGATTGCTCCAGTCATTACACGTCACGCATATATGACGTCATCATTCTAATGGTCAGACGACTCAAGCAATGTGACAGCATCTATAAGGCCGGGAATGTCTAAAAGCAGTATAGCTGCATGCTTGGTCCCGTCTCTCTATCTACTTATAACTTATTCACTATAGTGCTTTGAGTGAAGGCGTGCCGAAGGCAGGCGGTGCTAGGGTGGTCCGGGAGGCATGCCCTCCTCCAACCTGGAAAATTCAGGCAGTTGTGTGGTCACAGGGGAAATCCCAAGTTTCTATCAGCCTGCAGAATAACTTTTTAAATTTTTTTGGCCCACTAGTAGCATAACATTAGTCAGTGGCTAAACGGGGGGGGGGGGTTGCAAACTTGCAACCCCAACCCCGCTCTAGATCCGCAACTGCCAATCTTCGTAGTATCAAGAGCTAATAAATATCTTTTATTAGCTCTTGGTAATATATATTATAGATCTTTGTAGTAATTAACGCAATATTAAATGTAACGCGCAATTAACCAGCGTACGTGTGGAGGGGATTGGTGGATGGTGACGTCACGCAGCACGTAGATCACGTGGTCGATGACTCATGCCTAACAGCTGCAGGGGCTGTCAGCACAGATCAGTTCCACTGGAGGCCTACTACTACCCACAGCGAGTGCAGGACAAATCTAGGTTATATTAGCCGACGCGAGAGCAAGCAATGGGCCGATATGAGACATATATATATAGCAGCAATCGGTAAGTGCATATATATATATATCAAGAGTCCATAATAGAGATATATCTCTATACATATGATATATATATATTATATATATCGGTAAGTGCATATATATATATATCAAGAGTCCATAATAGAGATATATCTCTATTTATATGATATATATATATTATGATTTTATTCATTATGAGATTTATATGGATTATTTAATTGAACACAATGTGCCTTTGAGGGCTTCAAGAAAATGTTTCCAGACTCACAAATAGCCAAAAAGTATGGTTGCAAACATACAAAAACACGTGAAATTGTGAG